CAAGAGAGCGTGGCGGCGCTGTATCAGGGGACAGTAACCAGCTAAGGCGCCCCAGTGGACGAGGCGCGCACCACCGTCTCCAACACGTATAGCAAGCGTATGAGCGTATGAGCAAGCGTCACGTGACGCGTTTTGACACTTTGACAACAAATTCGAGAATGGATAAAGGAATGGATACACTGTGCCACAGTCGGTGAAGATTTATAGGTACAGCTCTGTTTATCAGCTTTATCACTGCTGGTACAGCATTAGCCCGGCTTCGCGAGCACTTTGACCTAGGTTCGTATCCTGGCCGGGGAGGATTGACTGCGCGCCAATCCTTAACTGTAGCCTCTGTTCATCCAGCAGTGAATGGGTACCTGGTTGTTAAACGATTTGGCGGGTCGTATTCCGGGGAAAATTAAGATTAAGGACCTGCCCGAAACACTGATTGCTGGTGGCTGTACAAGAATGTAAGAACTCTTGTATATACAAATTAAAAAAAAAAAGAATGGTCATCAGCTAATAAAGTGCCCAAACTGTCCGTCACGTCACGCGGGAACTTCCACTTGGCATATGACGTGTTCTTTAGGAATTATGTATTAATTTCCGGTTAACTCTTACATTTTATGAATATTATATTTATCGTAATATAGATAGCTGGGTTAACTAGTAATACGGCTATCATTACCGTGTATAATTAATAACTCAGCTATCATTACCGTGTATAATTAGTAACCCGGTTTTCAGTACCGTGAATAATTAATAACCCAGCTGTGTATAATCAGAATATGTCCAAAAGTTACTCTTAATTTTCATTGAGGGACTTTGCAGTCGACATGAATTATATAAAAAATAATTCCTAATTAGCACTGATTATTTCATGCTCTGTATTAAAACTCATAAAAAGATCTTTACAACAAGTAAATTATCAACAATCTCATGGCTTCCACTGCACGTATTTTCCTCCTTTATATTTTCCGGTTTGGTGGTGACGTGTGACAGCTTCCTGCCCACCGGCGTGGTACTGGTTCCGTACGCTCACTCACTGGTCGCTCTTACGTGTCATGAATATACCAAGATATACAGAACATTGTAGGCGATGAGTCGCAGTAACGTGGCTGAAGTATGTTGATCAATCCACACACTAGAAAATGAAGGGACGGTACGACGTTTCGGTCCGTCCTGAACCATTCTCAAGTCGATTGTGAATGTATATCATCCAATATCATCCAAATACAGAACTTTGAATGTTAGACTAGTGGCTACCAGCAGCGGAAGGTCACACTCAGCCCTATACAACTGGATGACAATAGCACAATATGTAATTATTATAGTACAACATTGTCAACAATGCCAAGGTCCTCGACTGGGGATTGCCAAATCTAGCTAAGGATATTAACTTGTTTTTTTTCAAATCCAGACAGCTTCTTGGGTTCACAATATCATTGCCCAAATTTGAGTTGTACCCATTGCTCAATATATGCCTAGTGCGCGAGAGGAAGCAGCAGCGAGGGCTGGTCAAACAATTCATAAATTTCCAACAAAACAATAACTAGAAACTACACTTAAGAGGACAGGCAGTGATCTTTAATTATGCCCGTGTAAGATATTATTAAGTTGACATAGTTTATCATAAAGAAAGGTATTATTGCCTGGAATTAACTTAGTTGTCCTCTTTGAGAGAATTTCCACCCATTTTACAGCATGGAGACCAAGCCTATGCTGTCTAGTTTAACTCACAAGGCCAGTATAAAGTTGAAGGATAGCATTAGGCTTGAAATATTAACGGTTCTAGATATGAAATCTATAACCTTCATGGCCGTAGTTCGAGGAATTATTCAATGTTTTCTTTGGTTTGGATCCCCATTAATCATGACTATAAAGAAAAAATTAGTAAATATACTTTTCATTTCGTGTAATATATATTTCCTGGAAAAGAACAAACAACTTGTTCACAACAATTAATCAAACAACATTTTTTTTCAAGCCAACCATCAAATTCTGGCGAGGCTTTACGTGAGAACAATAAATAATATGGAGATAAGAGAGGACTGGAGACGGGGCCGCTGGAAGATCATCAATAACAGTGATCACCAATAATGATAATGTTGGCCACGACTGGTTCTCCGTGAGCCCTGGTGATCCACAGGGCGTCACCAACTCTCAAACATTGTTCTTGCATCAAACAAGTTTTGAAAATCTGAAAAGTAATTTATATATATATATATATATATATATATATATATATATATATATATATATATATATATATATATATATATATATATATATATATATTCCTTTTAAATATAGTGAAAATTATAAAGTGAAAAATACTATATAGTGATTATATTAAAGATACGATTTCGATATGCCGGAGTGAGACAACAATATAATGATGATAAATATTTAATACACTGAAGATGGTGGACGTGTAGACTTTCCACTACCACTGAAGGTATTCCGATGAATGTGTTGTAATATACGTATCTGGTGCACCTGCAGCCTCACTCGCCGTGACCCTGGGTCAACCAGGTCAACAGAACACCACGACCAATGAATGCTCCAGTGAACACGTCTGGCCCAAGTGCCTCCCTTGGAAGCCTGGGTGACCCCTGCCGTCACTCAACCGTCGCCATTATCATCAACGGCAGCATTCATGCGGCAAAATCCATGAACGACAAGTTAATATTCAGTTTCCTCTCTCGCAGTTTCATCAGCTTCACTTGACACCCTCAACCCTTTCCTCGACCCGTTACTTTTTATTTATTTATTTTTATTTATTTATTTATATATATATATACAAGAAGGTACAATGGGTTTGTGAGAATACATTGGATAGTACAGTATTTACATTCTTGTAAAGCCACTAGTACGCGCAGCGTTTCGGACAGGTCCTTAATCTAGCAGATAATTTTAAGTAGGCAATTTCAACTGTTGTTCGTTGTCATCTAGTTCAGCTCGTCAATGGCCAAACTTGCCTAAAGCCAGCCGTCAGACTCCTATGTTTGTGAATAATAAACACTACTCGTATATCATCCCGTCTACATGTTGATAAGCTGTTCATCTTGTGATCATTGTCGTAGTCAACTCAGGTAGACTCGTTCGCCTTGCGTTTATCCTCGGCTCATCCTCCTGTTTTGTTAGTACTTATAGTCACGACGAGAACCATAGTATATGTACCGGTCTACAACACAATTAGAAAGTAGAAATCGGTACTATTGAATTTGGACAAACTGGAAGATTTTCTATTATGTTGCAAAGACAAACTAAACTAACCTAACCTTCCTAGGCCTAATACACGATATCTGAGGCCTAATATAGTTAATATGTGTGCTATACTAGGTCGAGGAATATTTAAGTTTGGTCTTAAGCTTTTTTTTCGGACTATATAAAGTGAATAGTACAAAATTCTACTATCTAATTGTTCAGCACGTCAATCTTTGTACTATGGTGCATATAGTTACAAAAGCTACTATCTAAACAAGAGGATGAGTTGTCATCCTTAATGGTCCTGGTGAACACAGGAAGACATTTCTAATGATGTTCTAATGAATATTATTATTAATACCCTATAACTTCCTAATGATAAAATGACGACCTTATGAGGCTGACAAACGTATTGAAATATTATATAAATAAATAAATTTTATCTAAACGGCCGGCCTATATATAAGCATAATTCTAAAAATTAAATACATTCTATACTATCTTGTCTATATGAAGTAGTTTTCCCCTCGAGTCTCGAGCCTATATCTGGCCAGGCTGTATTAACTTCGCCAGTAGGCCTATCTTGCCTAGCTTTGTGTTGATTCTCGTAAATACAGCCTCTTGATTTCTCTCCTTAATAATTTAATAAACAAATAGCTTGGGAGTGCCGCAGAAGTAAACCCAGTAATAACATGAGAGATGAACCAAGTAATAACATGAGAGATGAACCAAGTAATAACATGAGAGATGAACCAAGTAATAACATGAAAGATGAACCAAGTAATAACATGAAAGATGAACCAAGTAATAACATGAGAGATGAACCAAGTAATAACATGAGAGATGAACCAAGTAATAACATGAGAGATGAACCAAGTAATAACATGAGAGATGAACCAAGTAATAACATGAGAGATGAACCAAGTAATAACATGAAAGATGAACCAAGTAATAACATGAAAGATGAACCAAGTAATAACATGAAAGATGAACCAAGTAATAACATGAGAGATGAACCAAGTAATAACGTGAGAGATGAACCAAGTAATAACATGAAAGATGAACCAAGTAATAACATGAAAGATGAACCAAGTAATAACATGAAAGATGAACCAAGTAATAACATGAGAGATGAACCAAGTAATAACATGAAAGATGAACCAAGTAATAACATGAGAGATGAACCAAGTAATAACATGAGAGATGAACTAAGTAATAACATGAGAGATGAACCAAGTAATAACATGAGAGATGAACCAAGTAATAACATGAAAGATGAACCAAGTAATAACATGAAAGATGAACTAAGTAATAACATGAGAGATGAACCAAGTAATAACATGAGAGATAAGGTGAAGACGGGCATGATTATAGTTTGTGGGGGTGTTGTGAGGTGTGTACCAGCAGCACAGGTGTGGACATTACACACCTTCACATGAACACAGTCTGAAGGCCGTTGCAGTCACACGCTCCATAACTAGACGAGATACTCTTAAGAATATACCTCAAACTTTAATCAGTATCATTTGTTACCGTTTTCGACGTGCTGATGTCACACCACACTATGATGAGTATGATGCTATAGGATGAGTGGCGTCACACTACACTGATGAGTATGATGCTATAGGATGAGTGGCGTCACACTACACTGATGAGTATGATGCTATAGGATGAGTGGCGTCACACCACACTATGATGAGTATGATGCTATAGGATGAGTGGCGTCACACTACACTATGATGAGTATGATGCTATAGGATGAGTGGCGACGCACTACACTATGATGAGTATGATGCTATAGGATGAGTGGCGTCGCACCACACTATGATGAGTATGATGCTATAGGATGAGAGGCGTCGCACCACACTATGATGAGTATGATGCTATAGGATGAGTGGCGTCACACCACACTATGATGAGTATGATGCTATAGGATGAGTGGCGTCGCACCACACTATGATAAGCATGAGGCTATAGGATGAGTGGCGTCACACCACACTATGATGAGTATGATGCTATAGGATGAGAGGCGTCACACTACACTATGATGAGTATGGTGCTATAGGATGAGTGGCGTCACACTACACTATGATGAGTATGATGCTATAGGATGAGTGGCGTCACACCACACTATGATGAGTATGATGCTATAGGATGAGTGGCGTCGCACCACACTATGATGAATATGATGCTATAGGATGAGTGGCGTCGCACCACATTCCCCAGCCCCTTCCTCTCTCTCTCTTTCTTCCGTTCTTAATTAATATCCTTTATCTCATTCACTTTCTGTCTCTTAACATTGCCGCAGACACAAAACATATAAGGTTAATTAGGCTGTGGAGTGTGCTGTAAATATATATATGCGGAAAAACCACAAAGAAATGTTTTTTCAGCATACAAATGATCAGCGTTTAGTGATCGTGAATTGATATATATATATATATATATATATATATATATATATATATATATATATATATATATATATATATATATATATATATTATTAAATATGACCGAAAAAGTAAGATTAATAATTCTAACACGAATTTTCTCAATCTTTCGTACATTTCTTTTCACTGTTGGAGGTAATGCCAAAAGCGACTGCCCAGATAGGTACAAGAGGAGTGTTGTTAACGCATATGTCGACCGTGCTCTCAGCCACAGCTCAGAATGGAAGCAAGTCGACGAAGAACTCTGTAGGGTAAGGCAGGTCCTAGTCAACAACGGCTTCTCCAATGGTTTCGTCGAAGACATCATAAGAAGGAAAGTGAAACGCCATGCAACCTCTGAAGAGACAACCAACACAACACCTATACCCCCTATTAGACTATTTTACAGGAACTTCTTTTCCACAGCTCATAAAACGGAGGAAAGGGTCCTGAAAGATATTGTTAATAGAAACGTTATCCCTACAGACAAAAATCAGAGGATACAACTGACGATTTACTATAAAACCAGAAAAACGGCCAGCCTACTCATGGGAAACTCTCCAGACGCAAAACAGAACGCTTTAAAAGAGACTAACGTCGTCTATGCCTTCAAATGCCCTCTTGGGGACTGTAAGCTCCAAAAAACCAGTATATAGGCAAGACAACACCATCTCTTTCTAGGCGTTTAACGATGCATAAGCAACAGGGCTCCATTAAGGAACATATAATCTCTTCCCACAACCAAACCATCGCCAGAGAAATCCTAGTAAACAACACAGAAATCATCGATAGATACAGCGATAGCAGGCGGCTTGACGTTTGCGAGGCATTACACATCAAGAAGTCAACACCAGCAATCAACAGCCAATTAATGCACAACTATATTCTACCCACCTCAAGACTCCGCTCCAATATAGAAGCATCAAGAAATATGGACCAATAGGCTTTCTACAATCACTTCTATTCAATACCCATTGTTTCATGTTCTGGCTTGTGTTGATGAAATTAATACCTTATTAAATACCACCTCACCCAATCCACCTCACTCAAATGTAGATATAAACAAAATCGGAGATGTGTAAGTTCTATTCAGTTGTGTATGTGTTAACTAAAGTCTTTGAAAATGTAATAAGTTTTACGAAACGCGCTCAAGTGTCGCGTCAGACTAGAAATAAAAATGAATTTTGGAGAATTGATTTTTGAATTACCTCCAACAGTGAAAAGAAATGTACGAAAGATTGAGAAAATTCGTGTTAGAATTATTAATCTTACTTTTTCGGTCATATTTAATAATATATGTCTACAGGAAAGACTGCTACCAAAATATACTAATATATATATATATATATATATATATATATATATATATATATATATATATATATATATATATATATATATATATATGCGTTAATGATAAAAAAGTTGGTTTTGTCTTATCGCCTACTCTCTATGTTATTCAACAATGGTCTACGCCACAAGAAGGTGTCTATCCCCAACCCCAGAATTAACTTTGGTGAACATTTTTCTCAGACATCCTCTAAGTCCTGAGTGAAGGCTTACCCTAGGATTGCCAAAATAAACAAATACACTAAAAGACGAAACCACTAGGCTTCACCCTAGCTAGAAAAACTAAATTATCAATGTAGAAATGTATGCAAATGAAAGGCCAGAAAATGTTGAAACGTGTACCAAACGAAACAAAATGGGAGCCAATTTGAATGCGTTCAAAAGAAAGGTTAAGTACAGTAATATAATATATCTCAATACAATAGTCAGTGTTCCCCGTACCTGCGTGAGGTGAGTTGCCTAGCCACGGTGCCCAGGTGAACTTTACGTAAGTTGAACCACAAAATAATATATTAATCAAGTGATGTAATCACAAGTTTTTTCTGTTCATAAATATACACTCTGTATGTACAGTCACGTGGTATATAGCAACATCTTATTGCATGAAATGTTACATTTTAGTAATAATCTTATGATGATATTGGTGTGAGTGGAGTAGAAATGTGGCAACATTGCCTACAGCCATCTTCAAGACTTTCTCCTCCGTCAGTGATGCCAAGCTTAGCCGACACGTCTCCTGTGTCAGTGATGCCAAGCTTGGCCGACACGTCTCCTGTGTCAGTGATGCCAAGCTTGGCCGACACGTCTCCTGTGTCAGTGGTGCCAAGCTTGGCCGACACGTCTCTTGTGTCAGTGGTGCCAAGCTTGGCCGACACGTCATTTGTGTCAGTGATGCCAAGCTTGGCCGACATGTCTCTTGTGTCAGTGGTGCCAAGCTTGGCCGAAGTATTATAATAATATTAATAATCTTGTATTTACAAGAAGGTACAATTGGTATGGGCTCACCATAGCCCGTGCTACATGGACACTTCGTTCTGAGTAGCTAAATCTAAAACAACAACAACAACTATAGCCCTGAATTGTGTTCACCACTAAAGTATTTTTGTTTCGTCAGTAAGCTATTGCTGTTGTTGGCGTAATAACCCTCCAGAGACTGATAGGTGTTAAGTCAAACACCATACTAAATTATATAAAATGTTGTGTATCATGCATCGTACGGGCACTGGGAAGATAAGTCATGTACGCACTACCTACACTAGCCAACTAATGATATGCTTGCAAGCACAGGCATAACAAAATATAATAGAACAATTACATTGACGCTTCTCTACGACACGCCTCCTGTTATCAGTATTTCTAAACTCATCTCTTCACTTCACTGTTTGTGAAGTATTTTTACTCTGTAGAACTTCACCGTTTGTGAAGTGTTCGAATCCTCCGCATGGCTCCTACTGATTTTCTCAATATTATTATTGCTACCATTGTAAATAGTGTGATGTTATTACCACCTTTATCATTAATGTATTTATGCCCGTCACTTCAGGGTATAATTGTATGCACACCTATCACCAAACTTCCAGTTGACAAATTATTTCCTGTTTAAATTCAAAATGATTCACAGGATCATTTCCTTGTATTTCCTGCATTGAAATTCCACAGGTAGTGAAGGCCATCCCACTGGTTGTCCCCCGGGACCCCCAGCCCAGTGGGCTCCCCTCATATAGGATCCCTTTATCATCATCTACGGTGTGTGTTGTGTCGTGAGGCTACTGGTAGTGACTGTGATCATTCACGGTACATAGTGTAGTGAGCCTGGTGTATGCTGTCTAAGGTATGACTGTGCACACAGAAATCAGAATAGCGAGATATATATTAACTGAACAAATCCACAAGGGCCGTGATGAGGGTTCGAACCTACGCATGGGATGTTCCCAGCTGCGCCTTAGTCAACTGTGAATGACTGTGATCATTCAGGGGTACACGGTGCAGTGAGGCTACTGGTGTATGCTGGCCAAGGGTGTAGTGAGACTATTGAAGCGTCTTGGTCCAGGTCGCTGTGTATCTGTCATCGTTGCCGGAGACTGTGTAAGTCGTCGTGCGGCTGGCAGCGCGGTTTTGTTTACTGTTTTTTCCTACATGATTCTGCAGCTTTCTTAAAACTTACACCTCGGTGATAATGTAAAATTCATTATGACAATGATGTCTTAGATAAAGGGAACATTGTAGTACAATGCTATGACAATTGACCTTCAAACGAATCCATATCGAACAAAAACAATCCGGATATGAGAGAGCATGTCTTCAGTGTGGCATGTTATAAAGATTGGTAGAGTAGTATCCAGTAGTAGCCAACCAACACCCCCCCCCCCAGTATGAGGCTACCACAACCAACAACCCCCCCCCCGAGTATGAGGCTACCACAACCAACACCCCCCAGTATGAGGCTACCACAACCAACACCCCCAGTATGAGGCTACCACAACCCCCCCCCAGTATGAGGCTACCACAACCAACACCCCCCAGTATGAGGCTACCACAACCAACACCCCCCAGTATGAGGCTACCACAACCAACACCCCCAGTATGAGGCTACCACAACCAACACCCCCTCCCAGTATGAGGCTACCACAACCAACACCCCCTCCCAGTATGAGGCTATCACAACCAACACCCCCCCAGTATGAGGCTACCACAACCAACACCCCCAGTATAAGGCTACCACAACCAACACCCCCAGTATAAGGCTACCACAACCAACACCCCCAGTATGAGGCTACCACAACCAACACCCCCAGTATAAGGCTACCACAACCAACACCCCCAGTATGAGGCTACCACAACCAACACCCCCAGTATGAGGCTACCACAACCAACAGACCCACTATGTGGTAAAAGACTGTGGTAGTAATGTCAACCGCAATATTGCATTTCGGATGTGGGAGTGGTCCTATTAACAGGTGTGACAACAGTGAACAGTTTGTGTGGATGTCTCGTGCTTCGTTACCTTCCCTTACCACCACCACTGTACACTATACACCAGTGGCTCCCTCACCACCATTATACACCAGTGGCTCCCTCACCACCATTATACGCCAGTGGCTCCCTCACCACCACTGTACACTATACACCAGTGGCTCCCTCACCACCACTGTACACTATACACCAGTGGCTCTCTCACCACCACTGTACACTATACACCAGTGGCTCCCTCACCACCACTGTACATTATACACCAGTGGCTCCCTCACCACCACTGTACACTATATACCAGTGGCTCCCTCACCACCACTGTACACTATACACCAGTGGCTCTCTCACCACCACTGTACACTATACACCAGTGGCTCCCTCACCACCACTGTACACTATACACCAGTGGCTCCCTCACCACCACTGTACACTATACACCAGTGGCTCCCTCACCACCACTGTAAACTATACACCAGTGGCTCCCTCACCACCACTGTACACTATACACCAGTGGCTCCCTCACCACCACTGTACACTATACACCAGTGGCTCCCTCACCAGCACTGTACACTATACACCAGTGGCTCTCTCACTACCACTGTACACTATACACCAGTGGCTCCCTCACCACCACTATACACTATACACCAGTGGCTCCCTCACCACCACTGTACACTATACACCAGTGGCTCCCTCACCACCACTGTACACCAGTGGCTCCCTCACCACCACTGTACACTATACACCAGTGGCTCCCTCACCACCACTGTACACTATACACCAGTGGCTCCCTCACCACCACTGTACACCAGTGGCTCTCTCACCACCACTGTACACTATACACCAGTGGCTCCCTCACCACCACTGGCTCCCTCACCACCACTGTACACTATACACCAGTGGCTCCCTCACCACCACTGTACACTATACACCAGTGGCTCCCTCACCACCACTGTACACAATACACCAGTGGCTCCCTCACCACCACTATACACCACTGGCTCCCTCACCACCACTGTACACTATACACCACTGGCTCCCTCACCACCATTATACACCACTGGCTCCCACACCACCACTGGCTCCCTCACCACCACTGGCTCCCTCACCACCACTGGCTCCCTCACCACCAACAAAGCTACTAAAGTATACATACATAAAGAAAGGGGCGTGAATACTTACCCTAAACTAGTGAAACTCCAGGTATCCACTCTTTTCCTAGTGTCCGTCGATGACTATATAAGCGGAATACCGGTAACTACCTGGGCTGACAAATAGTTTACTCTCTGAAGTCAAGTTTATGTAGTCAGGAGCTTTATGATGGGCTCATTAAGGGCGGTGAGCGTCAACACGAGGAGAAGAACTGTGTGCGTCCAGCCGCCACAGCTGTCACCTCTCAACTGCTTCCTCCCTGGAACAGCCTCTTGCCCCAGTCACTTACTACGCTCCCACCTGTTGTGCCCTCCTCCTCCTGGGCTCTTGTCTACTGCTGGATGTGTCTCTTGTCTACTCTCCTACTGCTGGATGTGTCTCTTGTCTACTGCTGGATGTGTCTCTTGTCTACTACTTGACGTATCTCTTGTCTACTCTGATACTGCTGGACGTGTCTCTTGTCTACTACTGGACGTGTCTCTTGTCTACTGCTGGACGTGTCTCTTGTCTACTGCTGGACGTGTCTCTTGTCTACTGCTGGACGTGTCTCTTGTCTACTGCTGGACGTGTCTCTTGTCTACTGCTGGACGTGTCTCTTGTCTACTGCTGGACGTGTCTCTTGTCTACTGCTGGACGTGTCTCTTGTCTACTGCTTGACGTATCTCTTGTCTACTCTCCTACTGCTTGACGTATGTCTTGTCTACTCTCCTACTGCTGGAGAAAATCTGACCACGCCATAGTGTACGTTTTATGAAGCAGTAAGCAAGAATTACTCCTCGCTTCCTATGGCGCATGTTGTACCTTTAGTACCACCATTGCTGGGAAAGTTGCAGGTGTATGGTAATGACCTTGGAGACTGAGGTCATGGTCACTTGTATGGAGTGTTGATATGAGGAGTGTCTTAGTAGCTGACATCCGGTGTGTTGACCGAAGGCTTTCCCAGCCTAGGAGTGAAGCTCCGATATGGAATTAGAGATTGTGGGGAGTAATTACCACCTGTTGTGTGACTGTTGTTGTTACACTGACAGTACCTCCTGTTGTGTGACTGTTCAGTGAGAACAGTTCAGTGAGAACAGTCTCACTGAATCACTTCAGGCATTTACACTTAACACATATTTATAGTAATAATAATAATAAAAATAATAATTTTATTTACAAGCAGGTACAATGGGTTTGTGAGATTACATAAGATCGGTATTTTTACATTCTTACCAAGCTACTAACACCCATAACATATCAGGTAAGGTGAAAAGGTACATTGTGGCAAAATGTTATATTAACACATAACTACAATATAAATTGACATAGGTGATTATACTGGTGATATAAAAGGTTCGCATCGTATATAATGCAAGTGTCTGGCAGTTCTCTTAATTAATTCTCATGGTGGTCTGGGTGGGATCAGCCCGCATGAAATCCACAAACAATACTTTCTTAGGCACCATAACTTCATTCTCGTTTTCCAACAGTTTTTTATGCTTGAGTTAACAGTTAAGAGGCAGGCTGAAAGAGCAGAGCTCAACCCCTCCCTCCCCGCATGCACAACTAGGTGAATACATAGTCTGTCTTATAGATATAACTAGATAATGGTTAGCCTGATGTCAAAACGAATTCCATACTTTTTAGTTTTTTGGATGAGGGAACGAAGATTTGTCCTTGTCAATAATAAGATAATTAATGGCAGCTCTCATTTAATAGTTAACATAACGTGGTGGTTGTTTGTAAGAGTTGAGTGAATCTCATGTCATAACTTTTTCATATTTCCACCCGAAACGCTGCGCGTATTAGTGGCTTTACAAGATTGTAAAGATTGATTGTATTCTTACAAACCCAATGTACCTTCTTGTATACAAATAAATAGATAAATAACTAAATAAATAAATAAATATGATATCATAGGTGAACTTACAGAAAAGAGGAGACAAGTCTTAGATTTTTGCACCAGTTTCTACCGCCTGGTTGTGTGTGGACGGCTGCACACTAGACATGCCTTGGTGCTGGAATGGCTCTGGATGGCTATTAAGTCCACCACAATAGCTCGCTGACCAACCAGCACGCTTGTTTTAGTCCTGAACATCGTTCATGACTAAAAACAAGCGAAGGATGTTTAAAAACATAAAACAGGTAATTAAAAAATCTACAAGCCTAGCTGGAAGATTTTATAGCACTGTCCTTATCACGGAACAATACAAAATTCCTCCATATAAATATCATCCAGGATGTTAATATTAGAGCAAAAAGACATCTAAGACGACCACTGTCAAAAGTATCAGATTCATCAAGGATTTTATCGAGGGACGAAAAATTATTTAATAGAAACATTGAAACAAAAACACTTTTTCGACCATCCTGAAAATCAAAACATTGTCCGTGGCAACCAGCAGGGCAAGGCAGTCCTGACAGTTAGTGGGACAATGCTAGATTCAATTTGGCTACAATTGACCTACTTAAAATTATCTGTTAGATTAAGGACCTGCCCGAAACGCAATGCGTGTTAGTGGCTTTACAAGAATGTAAAAACATCAATGCTATGTACTCTCATAAACCCCATGTACCTTCTTGTATATAAATAAATAAATAAATAAATAAATAAATAAATAAATAAATAAATGCAGTTCTGACAGTTAAGACAATACAGTTCTAACAGCAGGACAATACAGTTCTGACAGCAGGACAATACAGTTCTGACAGCAGGACAATACAGTTCTGACAGCAGGACAATACAGTTCTAACAGCAGGACAATACAGTTCTGACAGCAGGACAATACAGTTCTGACAGCAGGACAATACTGTCCTGACAGCAGGACAATACAGTCCTGACAGCAGGACAATACAGTTCTGACAGCAGGACAATACAGTTCTAACAGTTATCAGGGTAATGCAGTTCTGATTGTAAAGCTCAGGTCGACTTTGTTCCTTATAAGTACCGATCAGTTTTTCTTGTGTGGTCAATACGCAACCTAGCTAGAGTCGTTTCCCACTTCTTGTTATCAAATGTTTATTTAGGTAAGCTACATACATACAAGAGATTTTACAAAGAGTGATGGATTTATAGATAGGGCTAGTACATACAATGCCTAAAGCCACTATTACGCAAAGCGTTTCGGGCATGAAAAACTTAAATGACTAAAGCTTAATACTAATTGAGCATAAAGAGTAAAATGAAAACATGGAATGAAAACATAGCTGAAAAAGCAGCACAAAAAACAATTCTGTCGACAAACAGCGCTCTTTAAAAAAAAAAAACAGACACTGGTCGACAACAGAGGGGCAAGGTAGGTTACAGGGAATTTATTAGGTATAGCTTCGTTTTTATCTTAAACTGGTTGAGAGAGGCACAGTCCTCAACACGGAGGAGGACTGTGTTATCATCAACACAGTTATGATAATAGGAGGAAGACCGTGGGAATAGATCGCATTTAACAGAATGCAATTTGTTATTCGTAATAGCTATCAGCTATCTCTCTATAGCTTCAGTGGAGAAAGTTCAACAAAAATAATTCCAGAACTAAGTCAACTCTCATACCAGGACAGATTGAGGGCCACAGGGCTAACAATACTGCAAAGCAGACACAGTAGGCTGATCTCATTGAAACGTTCAAAATACTGAACAATTTTGAGGATGTTGATCTGGATAAATTCTTCAAAAGGTCAGATGTGACGCAGACAAGGAGTAACAGTTTCAAGCTCAGCAAGCCATAGTGTAAGATCGAAAACAGGAGATGCTTTTTCACCCACAGGTAATAGGCCCATGGAACCGCATACCCGCCAAAGCCGTAAATGCCAAAACTCTGCTGTACTTTAAAATCCAGCTTGAATAAATCATTAGAACAAAGGGAGGACCTTTGACAAGCCAGCGTATTTCTGTCCTCATCGAGACCACGTGTTAGCGGCCCCTTGGGTAAATTCTCCAACGATTGCGGACTGGGTTAGCAACAAAAAGATATACAGTAGTATTCAATAGCAAAATACAATACTGTATTGGCCTATTTAGTCTGATGAAATGTGAGTGAAATTTGTTAAATGAAATTAATTAGATATTCCTTAGCCTCCCTTTTTAAACTGATTAAGAAAAGCTTTTTATTATTAACAAGCTTAGCTTTACACAGCAATGTGCTGCTACAATATTTCATAAGGAGGATCACAGAGTAGATAAAAAGAAACTAGCTATAAATTTATCTGATATCCCCATCTCACAGGATAGTTAGTTATTCATGGAATCAGGAGAGAACATGAAATGCCAGTCTAATCTATTACCAGTATTAGCAAACTCTGGGTAGAGCATAAGAATATATTCCAATATTCGTGATTGTATGAAGTAGTTACAGAACTCAAAGTACCGCATTACCATTTGATCTGAAATCATTGATAACAGGGCAATCACAGATGTAGTATTGAAGAGTATGTCCCAGATCTTGTACACAAAGTTTACAATTGGAATGTTCACCATTGGGAGATTCATTACCAGCAGCCACCTGCCATAGATATTAATATCCCAGCTTAATTCTGGCAATTACAATTTCATACTGACTATCAGACGTTTTGTGCCTTGCGGAGGGCCAGAAAGAGGGCTTCCCACAAGACTACCAAAACAAGACAGAATACACAATATCTTACAGCTAAGTGAACTGGTGCATTGTTGTTACGGACCCGGATCCAGCGTCCGAGCACGGAGCAGTGACGACCGCGCCATCTGTGGATCAGCTCCCGAAACCCCCTCCAAATGGACGACGACACCTGGCGAGGACGAGGTGTACTGGCCACGAGGGCCAGTTTCCAGTCCTGTTCAGCTCACCACGCAGCCGCCGCTGACCTCTGGTGAGGTGGTGCTCAGACGACAACGCCATCAATGGAGTGGATAGGTGGGCGTTTGGGTCTGAGCCTGTGAGTGAGGTGCTTTAGTGTGTCCCTGTCATTGATGACGTGTCTGCTTACAGAGTCGACCTGGGACTGCTGTAAGGGAAGTTGAGTCAGTCTACCCAAGGCAGCCGTCCCCACACCAAGTGCTTTGCTGCAGCAGCTGTGAGTCGCCTCCCGGATGAACACTGTGGTGTTACCCTGCCAGTGAAGTGGCAGCTGGAGGATTGTCGTACCCGGGACTGACTGGTGGAGACGATTAACCACTGGGGTATTGTGGACAGGAGAGTGATCTGTGGTATCACACGAGGCTCCTGACTAGGGCGCTACCCTAGTATCGCTCGTGGAGTGGCCTGACCAGCGTTGCTGATCCGGAACCTGCCAGCAGTCTGCTGGACTTGTGGTTGAAGGCCTCC